CTCTTATCAGAGTATAATTTCTAACAGAATAAGACATCACAAAGTACCATCTATTACCAAAGGACCATTTTGTGAATCCAATAAGATCATTTTGATTTGAATATATGGTATTTCTTTTTACCCGACTGTCTCAGAAGGAGGGTAATATTTTTCCCACGTAGCTTTATGTGTATAATTGCGACTTTCTAAATCCACGGAAAAATTGAATGACTGACGTTTCAGAGGGGTTACATTCTTGCCATGTTAGGTGCATCTTTTTGGGGGTATGATATTCTGGGGGAAATCACATGTTCCGCGGATAGAAATCATCCCCGGCTCTCTCAATCAAACCTACCCCTTTGCATTATATAACTGTGTTTTGGAGGTTTTTTTTAAAAGTACCAATTCTTGGGGTTTTGGTGCTTGGAAACTCTGCCCGACAGATCTGGCAACGCTGTGCTTTGACAGATCCGCCATATGAACACTTTCCTAATAGTCTAATATCCGACCGCTTGAATCTGCGGGTATCTGCTTTTTAGATAAAACTTGATTTAATGATAAATAATAGTATAGTCAAATGCCAGAATTGATGACAGTAGCAGAAGTCATCGTGCGCCACTGCTTTGACGCGGTACCTTTTGATTACATCGCGTAATAGCAGTGGCATACGATGAGTTTCGCTACAGTCATCAATTTTGGTATTCTACTATAGAATAGATTACAACAAGGTTGCCTTTGTCATTCTACTATTATTTATCATACATAAAAACTAAGGTTTATCATGCGTATGCTCAGAGAAACTGGTACTCGTTTCGATCACTGCAACGTCAGTCAAGCGTCAAGTTTTGCGGTCGTTTTTTTTTTCTGGTATATAGGCTCCATGCCAAACGGCTTGTTGGATTTTGACATTTGAGGTGTTCTTAGATTTGCCTGGATAACAATAAAAAATTATTTTTTTACATTTGCCGCGTTTTGTATTTTTTTAAAAATTAAATTGTTATGCATATAAAGAAAAAACTTCTCTCTTTTATTTTTCGATATAAGCTGCTCCTTCATTGAAGCTATGAGCCCTGGAGATAGGCCCCCGGAGAAACTGCCCTTAATTAGCTCCGACCCTGACCCGGGACTACGGATTAACGTTTTCTTTCAGGAAAGTCTATATTTGGTGTTTACGCTACAGATAAGATGTTAGCTTTTTCTTTTGCTTGCTATAACTAATTAGAAGTTATGTAAATATCATATCTCGCTTGAATAATCAGATTTATTTCTGGATTTTCAGTAATAGTTCGTAATGATTTGTCCAAAGTTGACCAGCATCTAGATTTAAATAACCTAAGATACAGAGATGTGGAATTTGATGCTCTAAAGCTGCAAATTTGTTAATTCCGATCGATCCTCGGCAAACGTCAACTTTGTGTGCACGACTTCAAACAGCAGTATAACGATTATACTCTTTCTATTGGTTATGGAAAAAAGAACTGCCGAGTGTTTAATCTAAAGCGTATTTACTATTTCATTGCTATTCGGCTCTCTAAAAAGTACTCCGAATTTTTTTGCAAATATTTGGAAACATTTTCTTGACGTTGGGAGAATGACATGTAGTATGAGAAACTGCCATGCGTATTCGTATCTCTGCGCAATCATCTGCGGGATACACGTTTTAAACAGTGCGTTTTAGGGTGCCCGTCATGTGATGCACGCACCAATCATATCGTCTAGCGAGAAATCGAATGCTGCAAAAAATTATCCAAAGAGATAAAATGAGATACCATAATGTCATCTATCAGAATATGTTACAACTATTTCTCTATTTACTGTATTTTCTATAAAAAGGTTCTTGTCTCGTATATGGCGCTGCCTATGCGCTAGTATATGCTCTAATTGGCTTAAGTGCCATCTATGAGACATCAGCACTTTCAAAGTCTACAGGGTGTTCCTTAATGATATGCGAATATTTAAGCGCGCAACACCCCGATTTTTTGTAAGGAAACGTGTTTGGACCATAGTTTATAAAACAAACTAACATTAATTTTTCATGTAGATTCACACCATTAAATATTCGCATATCATTAAGGAACACCCTGTATATAATAAATCGACAAGCTGTAACAAATTCTCTTAGCTGACGCTACGGTATTTCATTATATAGCATTAAGTTCACTATTTTCAGGAAGAATTCGTTAATCAATGGTGTATTCAATATTCTGTGGTTATATTTAAGGTAATTTCAGGTATACAAGTAGTGTACGATTTATCAACTGTAAACTCTAAAATGAAATCGGTCAAAGTACAAGTAGGAGATCATTGTGAAGATCTTGAACCATCGAAAAAATAAGGTGTCATGACACCGAGTTTTCAGACACTGGATGCACGCGATGTTCACCATATTCTTGCTAATGAATCAGGCAGAGACAAAATAACAGAAATGTTGAGGGATGTTGACGTGATAGTACGGTATGTCACTAGTTTTTAATCTTTTTCAAATATTGACTTGAAAATTGTTTTTTTTGCTACGGGTATTTCGAACATTACGGGCCCGTGAAGCACACAGTTGATGTTAGAATCGTATTCTCTGAAAGTTCTTCAGCATTTCTAGATACCCTATCAGCAATTTGTCTTGTTTTAATATCAATCACACTTAATGTTTAAGTCCGAAAATAAGATTCTTATAAGAGTTCCAAAATTCTCCCTTATCGAGAAATAAGTTGTTAAATTTATACTTTCTAAATCGCGAAAAATTTTCGAGTGGCGTACAAGATAATTTAACACATACAGAAGAAAAATGAAAAGCATTATCTAGGCCTTCGTCTAATTCGTTTTTGAATAAGTTAGTTAATTTTATACATTGTGGGTGTCCAAGAGAAGTTTGAGGATTACAAATTGAGTTAAAAAATACTAGACATTTTACTGAAAAGCGCCAAGTGTAGGGATTTCATTCTTTAAGATTACGTCATTTAGGTGTCCTCCATTTCATTGCAATCACTTATGGCAGGGCTGTCCAACATACGGCCCGCGGGCCGGATGCGGCATCCAAAGCGAAAAGCCAATGGGCACAATTTTTTTTGTTTTTTTTTTTTTGTTCTGTTATTGCCACTGGTCGATGACCAACTGGCCAGATCCTTATGTTCAGTATAATGCTATGCATTAATAGAAAATAGAACATCCATTACTTAATATTACTATTGTATATTATTTCTATTATAGTTACATAGAGTATGCGAACACATATTTCTCTTTTTTAAGTTTTTTTTTTTAACCAATACTTTTTACTTATTTTTTCCTTTTCTCTATTTTGTTTATAAGATTGTTTTTTTAATTATGCATATCTACATATATATATTACTTTATACTGATCTGCTTTTTTTCAATATTTTCTTCTTTTTTTTCATTTTTTCAAACAAACTTACTGTAATTTACATTTTATAATGTTAGGCCTACTTTCCGACAATGCTTGTATAAAAGTTCGTAAACTTGCTGGTTCTCAGAACTGAGAATTGATTCTAAATTTAGAGGCAAAGGAACGTGATTCGCTAAAATTTTATTCAATTCAGAATTTTCTTTGTTGGAACTTGTACATTCTAATATTAAGTGTTGCAAGGGTCCTATATTTCCACAACTGCAAAGTGGATCATCTCCGTATCCAATTCTTGATTTATGATGGGGCGTTAGGACATGACCACTTCTTATTCTACTCACGGTTCTAATGTAAGGACGATTGGTAATTCCTTGAAACCAAGGTCTGCTTCGAAGAGTCTCTTGTATTCGTTTCAGGTAACTTCCTGTTGGACTGAGTTTGTAATGGTTATTGCATTTATTCTTTAGTCGTTGTCTGATCAGAAAATGAGCGTCAGTAAAAGGAATCTCCATGCCCGGAACGTAATCGCCTCTAGTTGTAGCTCTTTTTGCAAAATTATCTACCATCTCGTTTTCTTTTATACCTGAGTGGCCTTTGATCCAGACTATGTTTAAAGTTTTGTCGATTCTATTCAGCTCCTGAATGCGCTTGATGATGTTCGCAATTAGATGATTAAGATCTGCAGTGGGGTGACAATTCTCCAATTTTGTTACAGCACTTCTACAGTCGGTAAAAATAACAAAATTGTTATTTCCATGGAATTGGAAACAGTATTCAATAGCTTGGTTGATCGCAACCAGTTCTGCTGTGTATACCGAACATTCAGGTGGCAACTTGAATTCTTGGTGATACGAATTGTTGCTGTGATAAAATGAACATCCCGCTAAATTGTCTTTCTTCGGACCATCCGTGAAGATATATTCCCATCCACTCCATCGTGTTCGAATATCATGCCAGAATTTGTAAGGTGTTGATAAGTCTAGTTCGGAATATTTCGTAAAGATAACTTCGGGTGGAGAGTTATATGCAGAATATTCAGGTATGAAACATGGGTTGATTTGATTAGAGTGTACCTTCTTGACGGTAGGAAGAAGCCACTCATAACTCTCTACGATCAGAGGAAGCCTTTTGTGTTGCCAGTATTTTGCTGTTAATCCATGAATAAACAATTGGTGGATCTCGTTAATGAATCCCCTGCTGACCAGTTTAACCAGGGCTTTATCGCTCAACATTTGTCGTCTCAATTGAAGAGGAGGTTCGATACATTCGACCTCCATGACATTGATGGGAGTGCTATTCAAATATCCGATACATAGCCTAAGGCACTTATTTTTGATCTGTTCTATTTTTCGAAGATGAATTCTAGATGCATTTCCATAAAGTATTGATCCGTAGTAATGGACACAATTCAGAAAGTTGATTCGTAATGACGCTTGCATGTGACAAATGGGCTCTACCTTACTTAACCCACGTCCGTGAACACTACACAAAATATCTTCTAAGCTGAGGTGTAAAATATTTTTCCAAAATGCATTACGTATTTCGCATCTTCGAAGAAGATGGCCCAAATTGATAATATTGCGTCGCCATCAGATTTGATACCTATTGACTTTTCTGTCTACCCGCTGTATCACTACGATATAGATGGAGAAAAAAATAAAAACAATTCATCTATGTTAGCTTCTTTATTGCATTATAGGATCCTTCACAAAATTTCCAATCAACAGAAAACACTGCTTAGCAGCTTCTTGTAGCTCAGCAAACTGCTTGTTAGGCTGTGGTTCTTCCATCTTTCGAGCTGCTTCCAAGACCTGTTCAAGAATTTCTTGAGCGTACCCAACATCTCCTCGTGTGAGTCTCTCCAAACTGAGAAAGTCCAAAGCTTCAACACCCAGGTCAGGAAGGCTAGAGTAGAGAGGCCAATCCTGTTCACAAGCCTCGCAGGAGCATTCGAAGAAGTATTGCTCGCGCAAAGAAGTGCGACGAGACTCCTTGGGTTCTACGGCATAATGGTATCTGAAAATGAGTGTACAGAAGGCGAAAGATAAAAAGTAGTTAGAAAACAGTCGAAAATACCATGTCTACATGGTGTTTCAAATTCGACGCTCACCATTGGGATCTTGGAAACTGTAAGAGATACGGGGTCGCTTAAATGGGGACAAAGATGCGTATTGCACACAAAGTTTCGAAATTCATAGAACTTCCGGGAAGAGACGAAAAAAACGAATTTTCCCAAAATCGTTTTAATTTTTTCCAGGCTTTATTTGTAGTAGGATCTCAAAATAAATTGCACATTAGTTGTCACTTTTTCTCCTCTACAAGTTGGCGTAATTGGAATTTCAATATGACGTTTCGTCTCTTACCCTCCAACATCAACTTTTTTTTTTCTTATGGACGCAATAGATATTTGCACGGATGCATAGATTTTTTAATTTTGATTCCATTGAAATTGCCAAATCATAGTTATTTCAAAAAAGGCAGAATTTCCTAGGTAAGCCTTGAAAATATCAGTCGTCATTGTTACTTATTCTCCTCTACAAGACGGCAAGGTCAAATTATCCATTCCACATTTCTTCTTTCGAATTCTATCACCAACTTTTTTTCTCATATGGACGCTATATTGGAATTTTGTACATATTTAGATGGACTTTTCCGTCCTAATTCCATTGATGTACGAGTATTTCCTTAGGTGACCATGAATTTGTTGTTGGATAAAAATTATAAGGAAATAAAGGTATGGTAAAACCTGAACATAAAATGAAAATTTTATTGATGGTAATAACAACAATGATCATAAATAAACGTCAAGAAAAAAATAAAACAAAATTTCTGTTCGTTCTAGGCGGCATTTTGTTAGCTACCAATATCCCAATAGTGAGGGTCAAATTTGAAACGCCCGGTATACAATGTAACCTTGGGAACCATGTTCGAAGACATTGTCAGTTCAAAGTTTGATTATTTTGACGGAATCCTTCACCAAATGTCCTCGCTTTGGATGGCTATAAGGTTGTCGCAATCTAGAACGAAGGAAGTTTCGGATTAAAATTAACAATGTGTTGTCAACAACACGGCTCGTAAGAGCCGGTGTGCCTCAGGGTTCGGTCTTAGGACCAATCCTTTATTCACTTTATATACATGACGTCCCTTGTCCCTGCAACTGTGAAGTCCATCTCTAAGCTGATGACACTGCACTGCTAACCTGGTTCACGACAAGCTGCAGAGTGCGGTGGAGGAAGTATTGGAGTGGGCGGATCGGTGGTTCATCAAAATTAATACAGGCAATCTATTGTACTAAAAAAGTTGCGGTGCCCCCTCACAGATATCAGTGAATGGAACTCGCATACCATGGGAGCAATCTGTCAGGTATCTTGGAGTCATCATTGACAAGGGGTTGACCTTGCAGACACATACTGATATTTTGAAAACAAAATTCCAAATTACCTTTCGGCAGCTTTACCCTTTGTTGTGCAGAAATTCAAAATTAAGTTTGATCAACAACATTCGGTTGTATAAAATGGTCATGACCCGCAATCACCTACGCATGCGCGGTTTGGTGTTTTCTTGCCAAGACGCACATGCAGAGACTGCAAGTCCTGCAAAACAGAACCCTACGCACAATTACTAACGCCCCTTGGTACGTGTCAAATGAGACCATTCACAGAGATCTTGATATCCCATATCTAAAGGATTATGTAAAACAACAGGCGCAGCGGCGTTATAATCAAGCCGAATCGCACAGCAACCCTCTGTTGCATGATTCAGTAGACAACACAGTCGAGCAAGTTCGCAAACATTGCAGGCCGCGCCTCTCACTGTGATCAAAATTAAATTGTAAATTCAGACCAGCCAAAATTATTTCAGTACACAAAACCGATCAACATTATTTTTTGGGGCTACAAAGTCAAAGCAATAATGCTTGAGCTATTTCAAATGATTTACTTCTTTTCTTTGGTCTATTTCTTCCTTCCTTTCTGTCCTTCTTTCCATTTTCCCCTTAAACATGTTTGGTATCTGGGTAGCCAGACCCGACAGACTAACAGACCGACGAGACTTTTAACTAAGAGCAAAGGTCCACCGGACCGCTCTGACGAATAATGACGAATAGTAGGTTGTCGCAATTTGCTTACGACCTATAAAAAAATCTATCAAATTGCATTTCATATAGACCAGGAAATTTAGAGTTTAAGAAAAATTGTAATGAGCTGTTTTACAAAGAAATCATATTCTTGGGGGCATGTAAAAAGACCCTCATCGAGAGATGCAAAAGATTTTGATGATTAACTTTTTATTTAAGCATCAAGGTTGTAAGGGGATGAAAATATTTTCAAAATGAGACCTCTCATGGACAATTTCATATAACGGCCAATTTATTACAAAAAATCTAAGATTTTCACGTTTATCTTTTACTTGAAAATGCATAACGGTAAATCTGAAATAACAACCAAAAGTTAAAATTGCCTTTTTTCAAGAACCCTCCAGGAATTTTGGATCAATCAAATGACCTGATATTGGGCTCATTATCTTCCAAGAGACTCAGTTCAGCACCGTATTGAGAGAAATGCCACATTTTCTTATACTAACCATGTAAAAAAAGGTCGCCAAGAACATCTATTTTTGCCTTATAAACAATTATAATAAGCACCTATAATAAATATCTTGTTTTTTGACAATCGAAATTGGAAAAGCTAAAGAAAAATGCACTCGTTAACGAAAAAAATACTGTTTTAGATCTCTGGAGGCCAGAAGAACAATAAAAAAGTAATGTCTACAGCTTTTTCTGGACCACATAAGAGTTCTAAACTATTTGAAATAAACATTTTGACGTTTAGTAAGGTTACTTAGCAAAACTTTTTGTATAACTCGATGAAGCGCTTTTTCATATATGTACTCTCTAGAATACACGTTGTAAAACAGCTCATTACATTTTTTTTCTAAAACACGGAAATCGGAGCGCTGACATCGAATATGATTATAAAAAATTTTTCACAGAAAACCACAAAATGTTGACTGTTGTAACTTTGAACGTCAAAATTTCTATTTACGTCTCCGGTTTTACACGTGAATGAAACTTGATTTGTAGACGTTTTCGCGTTTCGCAACTGACGCAGCATTTTTTTAATATTTTCGAATGAAATTTTTAGTGTGCTGGAAACTAAACACCACAGGGTGCTATCGAGCCACTTTATAATTTTTCCACTACGCTTTTTTTTAAATATCGAGAAGTTGAACACAAAAAAGTAAGCCTTTCAACCATAAATCTTGTGCAAAAACAAATTTTCAAAAAGTGTTCTGATACCACCCTGAGCAGATGTCTTCTGAAAACACCGTATGAATGTCATTCAAAAATATTCAAAAATGAAGTATCAGTTATTCGGTTAGTCGGTCAACTCATCATGGAACTCATCTACGAGCCCAATGTACCCAGAAATCAAGTCTTCTTCTAGATTACATATACGCACGTTTTTTTTTTATTTTCTCTTAGAGGAAACTTCAAGATATTTTATACAACTTCTAAAAAATGTCAAATCTTCACTTACCCATAGTTATCAAACAACTGTTCCCCAGCTCGGATACTCCTAATAGCTCTCAATACATTTGTCGACCCATAACACTGCCTGACAACATTTGGAGAACAGCTGTGGTTGAACATGCTTAAAAAGGAATAAGCACCAGCACCTATTTCTACAGTACCTTTCCGCTCTACAAAATCAAATATCTGGTGGAAATTACACGGAGCAGTCTGTAAATGCTTCAGCAATACTAATAGAAATGTTTCTTCTTCATCATCGGTAGTAAAGAAACTTATTAACTTCATCAAGTGGTATATGATCGAAGCTGTGATACATCTACCAAACACATCAGACATTGATCTCTTGTCTTGATTATCGACTAGATTGTGAATTTCTTGGTACCTGTCAGATCTGTATTCCCCATTTTCCATAAAATCCGTATTCCGAATTTTATCATGAATATCTTTAACTGTAATGGCAATTTTCAGTGGCAACATTTTCATTTTGTCCATTCCTAATGTAACAAACGTCTTCAGTAACTTACATTCATACTGATGGTAACTTCTAGCTTTATCCTTACAGCTGATGCTACAATACAAAGCTTTGGTGCAATTTTGACATGGTATCAAGTTAAAACATAACTGAAGACATCCTCTGCAATGACTAGTGTATTCTCCTACTAAAATATGAGAAAATGGTTCTTCGATAGCAATGATGTCACCTAACTGTATGTCTTTTGTAGCTACAACATGTTTGCCTAAGTCATCGCTGTCTTTGATTTTGACAGAATCTGAAGCGCAGGTTATATGTTTGTTACGACTTTTTTCTGGGATGTGTGGTATACGTTGGTGATATAGTGGTGTTTTTTGTGAATGAATTACTTCCTGGCACTTTTCTTTACGCCCAAGTAGTTTAGGCTTCAGCTTTTCTGGATAGCTGTTAGACAGCGCATTTGCGATATCCTGAAATCACATCAACAAGCAAAATAAAATTAAATGACATGCGTGCACAGTAAAGGAGAGGAGGTACGTGTACCATTTTTGAAGTAAAAACATAGTGCGCATCGTGTCTGAGCGTCCTGTTGGTTCAACCTCAGACACTCTTGGCCAGTCTTTCACTAGGCCGCCATTACCTTTCAGGCAGCTGGATATAGTTTGTCGCCATGTCAATCATTAAGCCCGCCGATGACAAAGTAAGCTCAGAAATTCTGTTTTAAACGCAAAAAAGTTCATCCTACTTAAATGTAGAGAGGTGCTGTGAAACATCACGGCAAAGCTGGATCTCACGGTGCGACAAGAACACAGAAGCAGTTTCGTTGGGATTTACGGATCAACCACCGTACAGTCCTGACTTAGTACCATCAAACTTTCATCTTTTTCCAAGACTCAAGGAATTTCTTGGTGAAAAACGATTGGAAAATGGTGACATATTAAAAAAACAGTTACTAACTGGTTTAACGGTCAGGCGGCAGCATATTTTGACGACGGAATCAAGATTTGCTGCCACGAATTGACAGATGATTTAACCTTTATGGTGACTTTGTTGAAGAATTGAAAAAATTCCATATTTTAGATTATGATACTATGTACGTTCATAAATAAAGTTTATCTGATTCGACTACAAAACGGTTTTTACTTAAAAAATGGGCTCTCGCACCTTTGATGAGAGACAACTAACTTTTGGCACAGATATGACGACAATGAACAACACAACAATATCACAGCATAAGTTTCTAAAAAATTCTGAATTTTGAGCGAATTTCTATAACTTTGAGAGCTCAGAACCTGAGCTATCATGTTGCAGCGTGGACCATCGCTTTGAGCGTTTTGAATAGTGCGTCCTCCTTGGCTAAGAAAAAGTGAGCTGCCGCGCTGCCGGCAGTGTTGCCGAACCGGAAAAAACAAAATCGGTACACAGTGTTCGTTGAAATTCGGTAGATTCGCGGACAAAATCGGTAGAAGCAAAAAAACCTTCATAAGATCAGCGATGGATCAAGGAACTTGCTGCTTGCGTTACAGCCTTTTGCGTAGATCTGTTCCTCAAAAAATCTGTTCTAAATTATACTCATACATTAAGCTCATCAAACTCCTTAGCAACCGTCATTGAATCTACTTTTTCTATTCTTGTTTATAAGATTTTGAATATGTTTCTGTTCAATCCCTGAATTTGAAGCCCCATCACCTGACAATTCAATTTAACATTCAATTAAATACAGATGAGCTGTGGTTTCCTTATTGCTTTCCGATGATGCGATAATGACGGTGATCGACCAATCTATACCTGTTGTACGCAATATAGGAAAAGCGGAATAAGGGATGTGTGTACATAAATGTAAGCAATCCAAATCTACGTCCCTAGTGCCCGACTGCCTAAGTGTACGCTTATGTATGATTGGTATGGGGCATAAACTACATAGACTACATAGAATTCATTTTTTAGTTTTATTTTTGGTTTCAGCTCTTTTTCGGTAAAAAAATCTAGATATATCTGAATTATTTAAAAAAATCGTGAGAAATGAGGGCGTTTTGGGTTTTTTTTAAGGAAGAGCTCATTTCGGTAGAAATAAACAAAAATTGGTGAGTTCGGCAACACTGTCTGTCGCGATGAACTGCATAACATGCATGCGCGTTATGCAATGGGCGAACCGCTCAAATCGACGGGCGTTTTTGTATAATATAGTCACGGAGGTGGACCATCTAGTATTTGAAATTTGAACTAGCGATTATGACGCTATCCAATATCAAAATGCATAATAAAGACGACGCACTGTGCGTCCCGGGTCTCATGGGGACCCCGAATCGCTGTTTATGGAGGCCCAGAATAGTCAAATTTATATTCCTAAAATCATGATGCTCCAGTACGCACCCCCTCCTCCCAATCCCCCACTCTCCCCTCCCCTTCGCACTTCAACTATAACCAAAATATTAATTTGAAAATTAGTAGTATATTTGTCATTTTCGAAATATGACGCTATACGTTTGAAACAAATTGGGTAATATAAAAATCTTACTTCCAAAATGGTGAGTCTTTGACCCAAACTGTAAGAACCTTACGTGAAAAAGTTGGCATAAGAGGCAGATCAACTCAGTTTGTCGACCGGTTCGTGAAGTCAGTTCGTGTGACTAGATAACTGCCAAAAACCGATAAAAGAACTCTATTCAGCTCAGTATAAATGTACCAGTTTCTAAACATTCACTGTCAGTTTGGCAACATTGTCTGGGTAGATGCTAAGCCATCTATGAGCCAATCGGCAAACCAAGGAGCAGCCGAGCCATCTATGAGCGAACCGCCATACTAAGGACAGTTCGCTGTGTCGCCCAAGATCAATCGAGCCCACCGGCGGATTTTAAAGACATTCCACGAAGTGTCTTGGTATAACTACTGTTTGGTACAATCTTTCCTATAGAACCAGAAATTTGAAAAATATCCATTAGTAGTTTTTGTAGCCGATCAATTTTTAAATGGACCACCCTGTACAACTCTAGCCTGTAGGGCTAGCCTGCCATTATATCGCTCCAAAAATGTCCCCTGAGATCATGTCGCTACCAGAATCTGAATAAAAGGTAAACCCCAGTATACACTCTACAATATAATGCGCACAGTCACCAAAAATGAAAAATCTACCTACCTCTAAACACTCTTTGAAGTATCCTCCTTCCATTAATACCGCAGAGCGATTAGCGTAAGCTATCGCTAAGCTTTCTGAGTTTTCTTCAGCATGAGCGATACATTTCGTATAAAATACCAAAGCAGCTTGGTTATTCTTGATTTTGAACATGTCGTTTCCCTTTTTTCTGTACTCCATTGCAGTATCATCATTTTTCAAATCCTCCGCAAACGCGGGAAACAGATCCGCGCCATCTAGTAGGTCATATACAAAGCGCACGCGTTCTGTATTTGATGACAGTGAGGAAAACTGCTTGGAGATTTCTTCCACTCGATCCGTTACGGCTAGATGACGCAGCAGCTTCTGACGGCAATTTTCAAAGTAATTCACTTTTGAATTACTCATTTTTCGTTACTTTATCAAGCGATATTATTTAAATATGAGATATGACGATCATGACTTCTTGAATCGTTCACCAATCTCCATCTAGTTGGTCACGGAGTGTATTAATATTTACGACCACACGTTGCAATTCCGGGAATCAACGGTAGATGGCGCGGAGGATCTTGGAGATTTTCTCAATGTTGTAATTTTCATTCATTTCCCGTAGAATATCGATCAGATATTCAGTAATGGCACAATGTCGCACTATGTAACTCCGTTTCTGGTGTTGAATCTCTGTTCCGAAATGGTTTTCGTAATTGCTCAAAGGCTGGAAGCTCAAAATATCCCTCAGGAACGAGCGACACTAGGTACTTTTACACGCACATGGCACTATACACATTTCTGGGTAAACGCCAGAACCTACACCAAAGGCGGACAATTTGAAATTTTTGTTCAAGCATGATGCACTATCGCTTATTTATTTTCACCGCTTCCGTTGACTCATCACTCTATTGTCTTTTATTTGTTCATAGCAATGTAGGATATGCAATAAACACCTACATACTATTATGACTATATCAGAATAGCTAGAAGGTGGGTAGTTAGTATTATTACTTTCGAATGCCGAGAAAATATGACCGGCTGTATTAATCATTCTCCTAAAACGTTTTCGAAAGCGTCAAAATTATTAGTAATATCTAAAAAGCATTAAGTATTACACGTCGTGTATCCATCAATTGGGTCAAGTAGATTGACTCTAGACGTCCCACGCCTTCTGATAGAAAAATATGGGTCAAATCCGCTTAAGGGCTAAAGCCCTCCCAGAACCCCATGGCCTAATATATAGGGTGATTCAAATTGGGTTTTCACATTAAAAGTATTTAAAAAAAGGAGAAATTGAAAATTATAAAAAAGTATGTATTTGTCCTTTCAGGGCAGTTCATTACAATTATGCTTGAAAGATGATATCAAATAAGCGACCGCCGCGGCTCATGTGGCATGACGTAATCCATTTCGAGAAATGTTCGACTACTCCGTGGTACAAATCAGGTCCTATGTTGGTAATTTCGCGTCTGATCTCCTGTTTCAGCTCCGCAATTGTGTTCGGGTTATTCTTGTAGACTTTGCTCTTGAAATACCCCCAAAGAAAATAATCTAAGGGAGTTAAATCACAGGATCGCGGCGGGCAATTGATATCGCCGTTACGTGAAATAACGCGACCTGGAAACTTGCCGCGCAGTAATTGTATCGTTTCTCCTGATGTGTGACCTAGGCTTCAATTCCTGTGTTCTTTGGACTCTGTATGGGTGTAACTTCAAATCTTTTGTTAAAATCCGCTGTGTAGTGGAATACGTAAGGTCCAGTTGCTGCGATCGATGACGAATCGAGGTTCTTTGATTTTCGGCCACACTTTCGACAACAATAGCAATATTGTGTTCCGACCGACTTCTACGAGCACGTCCCAAGGGTTTTGGTGTTAGCGACGGATCCAGTTTGCTCGAATTTTTGCACCAAATTCCAAACTGTCCTCTCACAAGGCTGATTTTGTGCGCCAAAAAATTCACGTAAAGCACGAAATGTATTCTTCCTTGATCGGCCGTTTACATTATAGGCTTCGATAATTTTAACACGTTGTTCGGTCGCATATTGCTTCATGACTGTTTTGTTTATATGTTGACGCTAGAAATGAAAGGAAATGTGGAAACTCAATTTGAATCACCCATATTTCCTTATATAATACAGTGTGACTAAGCGACACCCCTAACTCAATGGCCGAATCCGCCTTCAAGTCTCCACCCCCAGAACTTTTTTGTGGATACGACAATGGTTTACTTTCAAAAGACTCAAATGGAGTGGAAACTTGACCTACCTGCTATGTAGAGTTTGTAGAGTACGACATATCGTCGACCTCTAACCTCTCAAACTATAGGAAATAATTGGATCATTTCTGTTTCACTGTCCAATGGATGGGCTATATAACATTTATAATAGGTGTAATAGGTGCGTAGCATTACCGAGATCAGAACATCAGAAGTTTGATAATAAAACGTATTCACATTGTTAGCAATAATGGCAGATGCAAGATTGGGAATGCTTATCACCCAATTTTTGGCACCTATTACAAAATCTTAAAATGAGCAAATAAGCCGAAAAATAAACTTTTGGTAGCTCGATCGCCACTGGATCAGTTTTCAAAACCACAGAGTTATCTCTAAATTAATGTATAAAGCATTCATTAAATATACCATATAGCAAAAATCAATCAACTGCTCCTTCGACTACTTGGAAATATATTTTTGCCTTCGGCGACGTAATCTCCAGGAGCTGCAGGTTGCAGTTACTTCAAAAAATCCGCAAATCGTTCAGGGAAATTCCATTAATTTTTCCCGTTCAGAAAATACATAAGCGGTATATACAAAGTTTGACTGGTATAATTATTATAGAGTAGGGTGATTGCATGCAGGCATTGTGCATGCAATGTTGAAGAGAACAACCTTGCGGTGAATAAACCTCTGGTGCATGCAATCAGCCAGACACCAGTGAGTGTGCTTTCAAAAGCTCGATAAGTTCTGTTATAGAATTGATAATCGAATCCTCAGGGGCTTTAAGGTCAGGCAAATTAATGCTACTTGAATAAAAATCAATCCTCACGCCGCCTAAAAGAATAAAATAGACTTTCTAAAAATATCACTTATATTAATGTAAAAATATTCGTCATTTCTTTATGTTAACAAAATGTTTAATCTGGGTGGATTGCATCCTACTGCAAAGTGATTCTATTTTCATCCTATTATTAACATTTGTATGTACTAATCTAATTTGCTAAGTTCTATAATCTCCATTTTTTTTCATATCATTTGCAATCAGAAAAGCCATATATGTCCTTATACGGTTGTAGAGGGTTTTTGAGTTAACGTCTTTAAGAACTCACTTTTTTTTCTGAAGTTGTCTTCTGAGCTGAGTGAAAATTTAGTCCAGTTAATGAAGGTACAGAAATCGGGTAATCTGCAATTTTGTCTGTTGTCAAAAAGATTACTGCCTGTACAACAAATAAGTAGGCGCTTAAAGTGTCCAGAGTGATGAAAAACTTCTCGATACTATGGCCTTCAAAAATACCTATTCGATAATCAAATGCCCCAGATAGTTTCTGCGCAAAGTAGAATGAATTTTTGGTCTAATTATTCCAAGGGATGGCGGTCTTGACAAAAAAATCGTTGATCTGGCGTGTATTGCGTGAACGTGAACGTTGTGGGACTGTCTAAAGGCATGTTGTTGCTGCTAACAGATCTGGTAAATTGTTTTGTAAAAAATTTGAGTATGTTTCGCCGCACACTTTCTGGTGTAGTTCAAATGGGCCAATTAGTTGGCCATTCACCATTCAGTATAGCCTAGCCCATAAGTTGACTCCGAATCAGTATTGGAAACGGTCCTGCCTTAATATTCGCGGATTCTTTAGATCCCAGTGATGAAAGTTATGAATGTTATAAATTCCTGTTCTTAAAAAATAAGGTTCGTCTGATGTTTTTGAAGCACTGCGAGTCATTTCCATATTCTTTTTGGGTATTCTTCTGGAAGAAGCATTCTACGAAATATGGCGCACACTGCTAGAAGGCTCATTTTCAGTTAACTGCCTCTGCCTTTGAGGATTTGTTATCATTCAATTGTTTTTTCATCATATCCAGAAGGTTGAAGTTCAACAATAGCAAGTAAAGGGTTAAATTAAAAAAATGGGAATTTCTGGATTTAGGTTACCTGCAGAATTGTGTCTACTTTGCGAGGAATCTATTTAGGATATTTGATTATCTAATAGGTACTTTAAAAAGCCATAGTACCAATCTAGAAGATTTTCATCACTATCCGCCTACTAATTTTTTGTACAGGCCTCGTTGAATATCCTGTAATCTTTTTAACAACAACAAAATTGCTGCCGATTGCTGTACCTACATTAACCGGACTAATTTTTCACTCATGACTTTTTTTCAGCGACATATCATTTGGGAACATATCCTGTGAATCTTATTGCAGGATAACGAAAGACAACTTCAGAAAAAATAGTACAGTCTCAAAAGTAGCGACCCTTCACAAACTCTTAAAAATGGCAATTATTAAAACCCGTGTACAATCGGATAGGTCATATATGGTTTTTCTAATTGCAAATGACCCCTATATCACCCCCTTTCGCTTGCTCCATGACTTTTGGGACTCCCTGTACATCTGTACATTCTCAAACGACAATGGAACGCCTTCCCTTCCAGCGCAAAATCTAAAAATTGGATAAATATGGTAAAATATTATTTCAATAGTAAAGGGCAATGTTAAAAATATGGATTTTTTTGGTCTCCTTTCAGGGTACTATGTATATATCCGATATCTTTTTTGTGTATTAATTATGCAAAACCTATTTCATAAGTGCTTCACATTCAACGCAGTGAAGTACCTCGGGCATCAAAATGACTAAATTACAATGAATTTGAAAAACAAATTAAACAATTCCTTTTAGAAAAGTACTCACCAGTATAGTTTGACCCCTCTCTTCGCGAAATCTTTCCTTTCCGGTGTATCTACATTCATACGTACAATTAAATAATAATTAACTACTGTGACTACAATATTATATACTTAGGTATATACTTTTGCATCGTTAAAAGTGTTATTGTATTTTTTGTACTTTTCAAGGGGTATTCGCAGAATCGCTTCAAGCTGAACTTCGCTCTCAACAAAGACGTTTATTATTTCGAGTATTATTACCTTTGAATTGATTAATGTAATATAGGGACGGCGCACTAGATTTCCCCGCACTTTTCGGGTTTCTAATGAATATTTTTCACTATTTCTGATCATAATCAATAGTTTTCACTGAATTACGTTTAATCTGACACAGATACAATTTTTTATTTGAGGTTGAGTTTAAAAATACCCCTAGGGTAACACTCCACCTTTTCAATTTTGCACTTTTGCGGTTTTCAAGATATCATTCTATTGTTTTATTTTATGCATGCAAAGTTGAATAAAGGCACATTATTATTATTATTATTATTATAATCTCACATGGGGCATTATTTGGATAAGAGTACTCATATCCTTGAAAAAAGTGAAGACGTATTTTCCACATACTTTTACCTACCTCCTATTTGGAATATTTCTGTATATATCATATACAGGGTGGCGCATCGAAAACGAAACAGACGCATTTACTGGCAGCTCAGTTTTTTTTTTTGAAAAACGCTCAGATCCGTCGATTTTGTTTTCAAGGGGGACACAAGTTTGGCAAAAAATCACGTTAACACGTGCAGCCCCCTGGGCGGGGGTGACACCAACCCTAAAATCTTAAATGGAAAGGGGGGTCGAGTGATACCTTATTTTAAAGGTCTTTCAATTTTCTTTATAATGATGTAAAATACATGAGGTTCAGTTCAGTAGTTTTGAAGATTTATTGAGTTAAAGCTTAAAGTAGACTTTAATAGGTTTGTACTACTTTCAGAGGAAATTTGATTGAAAGAATTTACTTAATAAGTAAATGCTTTTCTTCACTCGCCCATGGTTGGTTTATCATTTTGTTGTTGAAAATAGCTATTGGAGCGTTTTTTGTGGCAAAAAGTTATTTGTTGAAGAAAGATA